TGGATATTCAAGATTTTATATATTCATTTGTCAATTCACTTAATAAACATCCTATTTTTAGGCGTTTAGTATTATCATCAAATTAAATTACTTAATCTGTATCATAATATAATACTAACTATATCTCCTAATCTATCTAACATTTTATAAAGTCTTATATTCTAGTAGAAATGGTAGTAAAAGCTTCTGTACATATATTTGTATTAAATTATCTTTCACATATTCATCTTTCATCTTCTAATTCATTTCCACACTATCATCATTCATAAAACTCTTGTTTAAATCCTTAAACTTATCATTTAATATAATTTTATAAAAAATGTTAACAATTCTGTAACATATTCAGTATGTTTCATAATTTTTCTCTGGCCAAATTTATCTCATAAGGAATGTAAACAGATTTTACATATATGTTTCAGATATGCTATCTGCTTTAGATAGTTTTTTGTTTTGATTTATTGTCATGTCAAAAGAATTGTAAAATGTTTGCCACACTTCAGCGTTTCCATAAAATTTACCAATCATAATCTTTGGCAATTTAACATTATAATCAGAACTTTTATTGACACCAGAAATAAATAAATTATTAGTATCATTAGAAAAACCATTAAATACTAGCGGATTATTGCTATTTCTTTTTTCGTTCGATAATTTCGTGCCTCTAAAACTCCATTTCGCAGTTTTTTCTTCGTACTCCAAGGCACTTTCTACTTTGGTTTCAATATCATTAATATCAGTTAATGTTTTAATTTTTTCATCTAATGCTCTCAAAGAAATAGCTTTTAAAATTTCCAGCGATTCTTTTTGGTCTTCAATGTTACCGGTTGTAATTAAGGATTCAGTAGAACATATTACTTTAGTAATGGCTGAATGAATAAGTTTCCGTTCTTTCTTAGATTTCGTTAACTCTTCAGCCATTTTGCTAACCTTGAATTTCACTTTATCACAAAATAAATCGAGTAAAGTACTTCTTACTTTTCTGAAGACTCACTTACACATTTACTTGTGAACTTCACAGAATGATATATATCTTTTGCTGACACCACTGTCATATCTTTTCTTCTTGGGCATGTAGGTTCTGAATATATGTTTGCGTAACGTGGAATGTGAATTAAATATGGGCATCGCTTAAACCAGATATTTAACAATACCAACACTTTATTAACGCACACAAACAAAACAAGAACAAACAATTAACACAGAAATAGAAACCATATTTATCATTACACTGGCATACAGCAAGCCACTTTCATTACTTCGCTACTAACCATCTCTTCTCTAGTAAGTCGCGTGAAAGAGAGAGGCGTTAGAGGCCGTTTGGCTAAACTGCGCATATGCATGGTTATCACGTCATGACAAACTCTATCACAAACCCAAACAGATTGTAAAATCAAGTCAAATAAGTACCTTTTAACAGTCTTTATGTGAAACAGCAATTGGTTGAAATCTTCGTCATTGGCAATAAAAAGCTGACTAAATAATCTGTCATTCAACAAGTTACTGATTTTATTAACTGCTTTGATAACATATTGCAGTGATGTATGGAGGTGTTCATTCAGATAATTTTCAACCAAATGCTAGTGATGAAGTTAATAATGACAATAATGACCTTTTTTCCCTCTTAGAAAACCTGTAACAGAAGTTAATAACAAAGTGATTTATATACACATGTAGGTTTATATTCTCCATTATATAATTTTTGATTAAAGTTTATGGTAATTTGAATATTGAATATCTAAAAATTCTTTAAATTGATTAACATACACCAAATTACATAATAAATAGAATATTACATATCTTGAATTATATTATATGCACTGCTCGACATTGAAAATGCAACACCAAGAAGGAGTGGTTAGAAAGTGATGAAATTTCGAAAAAAGACAGAGACAGCAAGCAACAATAAGTGATCTTTATTTCAAAATGTCAGAATACAGAGCGAGAATGGTGTCAGCTCAGTAGGATGTAGGACCACCGCAGACAATGATGCACGAAGAAACATGTCCAGGCATAGAGTCAATAAGAGTACTGATGGTGTCCTGAGGGATGGCTCGGGCAGAGTCTGCAAACAGCGTCCAATCACATCCCACACATGTTCGATTGGTGACAGGTCAGAAGAGTATGATGGCCAGGGAAGCAACTGTATACCTTGCAGAGCATGTTGGCAGATGCGAGCACTGTGTGGTCGGGTATTATCCTGCTGAAAATTTGCATTAGGCAGCTCCTGAAGGTAGGGGATTGCCACTGGCAGCAGAACATTATCTAAGTATCGTTGGGCCGTCATAGTGCCCTGAATACGAACTAGAAGTGAGCTGGAATCGTAGGCAATAGCGCCCCAAATCATTATGCCATATTGTCGCGTGGTGGGCATTCCACAGTTACTGCCAGATTAGATCTGTTTCCACGTCTTCACCACACATGTATGCGGCAACTGTCACTGGATAAACAGAAGCGTGACTCATCTGAGAATACGACATTTTGCCATTGTGTCATCCACATCACTCCAGTCCGGCACCATTCTAAATGCTGGCATCTATGCTGTAGGTTCAGTGGCAGTCTTCTTAATGGACAGCGTGAGTGCAGGCCACATTCCACCAATCGACAGGAAATGGTTTGGGTCGACATGTGAACGTCTAAGGGTATCTTGCATATGCTGCAGAATCGAGGTACAAGTTGCTTGCAGGACTGCCACAGCTTGTCAGCGGATGCGTCGATTCACGCGTGCTGACATCAACCCTGGTTGCACCTGCATCCCTCCTTCTTCCCACATTTCCTTCTTCCAACCATGTTCGCCATAGCCAATGCACCGCGCTCGCATCCATGTGGATATCAGCTGTGATTTGACGTAAGAACCAATTCGCCTTTCGTGGTCCGATCACCATACCCCTCGTAAAATCGTCTATCTACTGGAAGTGCCTTCAATGACGGCGGCCTGGCATTCTTTCCTATTACACGTATCTTCTGGGACAAAAAACCAACTTTCTTCGATAATTCGTCTGGCAGAAATAACGACACGAATATTGTCCATTCGGCACGTTCCTTTCCTTATATCTTACTTCATGTGCGTCGGAGAGCTGCACATTTCACATCATTCGGATAACTCAGTGACATGCGTCTACTCTAAAATTTGCATAAATTTCTGACCACTCCTTCTTGGTGTTGCATTTTCAATGTCGAGCAGTGTATTATAGTATAATATTGCATATATACATACGAGGGCTATCCAGAAAGTAGTTTACGTTTTGGAATAAAAAAATAAACAAAGTATAGGAAACAAATTTTATTATATACAGATGAAAGCCACACTCAAATACTACTTTTCTACATAGTCACCATACAAATTAAGGCATTTATCGTAGCGATGTACGAGCTTTGAAATTCCTTCGTCGAAAAATTCGGCCGCCTGCGCCTTCAACCACTTCGTTACCTCTTCTTGCAGCTGTGCGTCGTCATCAAAACGCTGCATAGCCAGCCACTTCTTCATTGCTGGGAATAGGTGGAAGTCGCTCGGTGCCAGGTCGGGACTGTACGGCGGATGAGGAAACAACTCCCACTTAAAAGATTCAAGAACTTTACGAGTGACATTTGCCGTGTGGGGCCGGGCGTTGTCGTGAATCAACAAGATCTTAGAGCTCAACATTCCTCTGCGCTTGTTTTGAATTGCTCTTCTGAGTTTTTGGAGAGTTTGGCAATACCTTTGAGAGTTTATTGTAGTGCCTCTTTCCAGGAAGTCCACCAAAATTACACCTTTTCTGTCCCAAAAAACAGTCGCCATCATCTTCCTTGCCGACATTGTTTGCATGCATTTCTTGGGTTTTTGGGGAGAACTTGTGTGCCCCCACTGCATTGATTGCAATTTCGTTTCACAGTTCACATGTTTCACCCATGTTTCGTCACCAGTAACGATGCGATCGAGTAAAGAGTCACCATCCTTATGGTAAGCGTCCAAAAAGTTCAACGCTGCAGCCATTCGCTGATTTTTGTGGTCCTCTGTCAAGATTTTTGGAATCCATCTTGCACAAAAACTTGTGGTAACCAAGCTTTTCGCTGATGATTTCGTGCAACAAACTTCGCGAAATTTGTGGAAAACTCAAAGAAAGTTCCGTTATTGTGAAATTTCGATTTTCACGGACTTTAGCATCGACTTTTTCGAGAAGTTCGGCGGTCACTATCTATGCTGGGTCTCCCACTTCGATCTTCGTCGTGAACATTGGTTCGGCCATTTTGAAATCTTATGACCCACTGACGCACTCCACCTTCAGTGATAATGTTGTCCCCATACACTTCACGAAGCTGCCGATAGATTTCTATCGGTTTACAGTTTTTTGCAGTCAGAAACCTTATTACTGAGCGCACCTCGCAGCTCGCGGGATTTTCAATTAACGCAGACATTTCAAACCGTCACAGTATCTGAACGGAGCACAGCACGAACCTCTCACTAGCACGGCTAGATGCAGACTGAGCTGCGCAACGCTCTGACCCCAAGATGGCCGCGCTAGCCCCGCCCCTAGCGGACACAGACGGAAACGTAATCTACTTCCTGGATGGCCCTCGTATAAATGAAATATTACACATTTCATGTAATATAATTAAATCTAGGATTATGTGTAATGATATTTAGTTTACCGTTTATATTTCCAATAGCTTTTTCTAAAGAAATTTCTTAAAATATTGTACTTTGAACAGGTTTTAAATCTTTTAATGCTATTATTCTATAATTTTTTTATAGATGTTATGTTTTCTTACATATTCATTGTAAAATTTTATGATATAGTTCAAAAATGTTTTCTAAATTTCTAGCTGCATCTTTTGGTTTCTTTTTTATGTTTAACTTCATTAGTATCTTAATTAAATCTCAAATTGTATGAATCTAGTATTTTTTAAATTTTACTTCTTTTTTAGGGTATTTAATTCATTTTTTTTTCTATTTGCACATATACCATGTGGATTAAATAATCCACTTAAATCAAGCGTTTTAGGATCTGTTTTTTCTTTTTCAGGATGAAATCCTTCGGCTTTCGGTATAAAATCTTTTCTTTCTTTTTTCAAATTAAAAGAATCAAAATATCTTCTAAATTTTATTATGCTTTTCTGGTTTGTTAATAATTTTTTTATTTTTATGTAAGTAATTTATTGCATTTAAATTTAATAAAACTAGTCTCAGTGTGTCTTCTATTTATTAAGATACATTTTTTGAAGGAAAATGTTGTTGGTGATAATGACTCTTTAAATGTATTTTCTTATGAGCATAAGAATATTTTTTACCTCATTCACTATCATATTTTCTATTATTAATTTTGGATTTACAACTTTTGCAAATACTCTGATGTTCAGATTTTCATAAACAGAATTGACTATAAAATTCATTTAAAGGTTTTTCAATATTATAATGACATCTAATAATGATGTTGTAAAAAACATTCAAGACACTATACAAAACATATAACTTCCTTCATTACTTTCTGAATTTCAAGAATTTTACTCGAATAAGATATGGTATTTTTGAAAAATTATTTATCCCCAAAAGAAAAAATTTCATTCATTTAATTTTGGTAAAACTTTAGACAAAGATCTTTTTAAAAGCTATAACTTTAAATTACCTTCGGAACTAATTGAAGCAAATTTTGAGGCAACAAATAATTTAATTGAAAAAGCAAAGAAAATAAAAGATAATGCTGTGATAAAATAGACGAAATCTAGATCACAAAAAGAAGATGTAAAATCACATTATGAAGCTCTTTCAAAAGTAAATAAACATATATTCGAGCACTTAACATTAAATAGATGCTTTAGATTCTTACCACTAAAGAAAAATATGATACGAGCTATCAGTTAGATAAAAAAAAAAAAAAAAAAAAAAAAAAAAAAAAAAAAAAAAAAAAAAAAAAAATGCTGATTAAAACATGTAAAGGAAGTAAATCTAAGAAATTATATAAACAAATTGTTACATTATTATATAAATTTAAATAAAAACAGTGATACATTTAATGAGGAATTGAAACAATATTATAATAATTTTTTTCCTTAGTAAATGAATAATTATATAAAAAAAGGAAGTTTATTTGAGTAATGGACAGCTTAGTAAATTAAAATCTGCTTACAACAACAACAACAACAACAAAAAAAAAAAAAAAAAAAAAAGTAACATTACAAACTCATAAATCTAAAACTCCAAATTATGATTTAAATTTAAGAAAAACAAAAGTTAATAATGGAAAAAGAATTACAATAAATAAAACTCAGATATCTAAGAGCACTTTTAAATCAAATTGAGGTGGTGCATTATTTAAAGATATTATAAATCAAATTAAACTTAAAGTTCTTAATCAAATTATAATATTTTTAAAACCAAAACTGCCTCAAATACTTCAAACATTAAAAAACTGCACATGTGAATTCGGAACACCTTTATACTCAAATATTAAAAAATCTTATTTTAAAAAAAATCCAGGATTTTTCACAACTTTAGATAATATGTATATATTGACTTTCCTGTATGAAGTAAAAAGAAAGTATTGTAATCGCAAAAAGTTTGAGGCATCATATTTCAATGCATATCCATTTTCACCACTATTGAATGCAATTTAATGATGTTTTTGCGTGACATCTGTACGTAAGGATAGGATAAAGGACTCTTTTTCTCCAAAAAAATTCTAAAACTAATTTAAAATGAATTCTGAAGAGAAATTTTCGTGGTGTCTGTGCGTACGTATGTACACATACATACGTACATACGCACGTACGCATGTATCTTGCATAACCCCAAAACAAGTAGCCTCAGAACGTTGAAATTTTTGTGTATAGGACTGCTATAACATGTAGATGTGCACCTCGTATTTTGGTTGCAATCAGCCGCACTGAAGGTATATAAATATCCACTCTGTTACTCGGCTCATTGATCTCAGTTTCTTTATTCTTATATGTGTAAATTGTGCATTTTTTATTTTAAAAATGATTGAATTATGTTGTTCTTATCTTCCAGTTAAGGTGTTTATGCTTTTGTAAATCTGTATGCAATATTTTTAGAATTGTCAACAATTTAAAAGTTGCGTAAGTGCCGCTAAACCTAATAATTTTTTCCATGGCAGTCATTCTCTGTTTACATTTCAAACAGTAGGATAGTAGATTTGTTGCCAATCTAGATAAAGTAAGCCTCACAATAACAAAGACAACATCTTCTTTTATTATTGTGAATTAAATCATGTTTAATCCATTCTAGAATTTATTCGAGAAAATAAGTGTTTAAGATTTACTTCATAATTTTCAATACAGACATCTTGAGTTTTAATGTATTTTTGCCTTGTTGCGAAGTGAGAACTGAATTAATTGAGTGAGAAATACTGAATCGTCTGTGAAAAACTGTTTTTTTTTTTTTTTTTTTTTTTTTTTTTTTTTTTTTGTTGTTGTTGTTATTGTTCTTCTTTGCTTAATTTCTTTTATCCGTTGTTTTAGATTTATTATAGTATTTGAATAGAACATGTGGCAACGATTAGATAATTCTTAAGACGATATATGTTTTGTGCATTCTGAGTTAAAAAAAGGGATGATTTAAGTGTTAAGTGAACTCATCCATTAAGCGCTGTTAAGTGAACCTAAGGCGAGAGTTTCGCTATGGTAAACATATATAGTGAATTTTAAAAAGTGCATTTATTCTATTGTGTGTTATAGATTTAATTTAATCCTATAAGTTTAAATGAAATGCAAGAAAAATGGGTATAATTTAATATTCCGTACAAGGAAGTCATGTGGTGCCCACATCAGATTTTTTTTAAAGGTCCACTAGGTTTTTTTAGGGAACCCAATCATCAAATTCTGGGTGCCCAGAATCATCATCCAACACCCTTTTAGTTTGGGCGGCACGGTAAGAGACATTAGGATTTTTTAGAAGCAAGACAGATTGAAAAATTAGCAACGCCTTTGCCGGGAATCGAACCACAGACCTCTGAAATACCGGCTCGGTGTGCTGACCACTGCACCATGAAGGCATGCTAGGAAGGTGGAAAAAATACCTTTTAAGTCTATTACAAAAAACAGCAATGTTATAAAAATATGTAAAAGAAAATATTCCTTTAAAATGTATATTTTTGTTCTGTAGAGAATATTAAAAAAAATTACAAATTTTGAAGTTAAACTTGAATTTTAGAGAAATGTAAAACTGATAGTAAGTCATTATAAATTTTAAAAAATTATGCGAAGATTATGTTTGAAAAGTTTAAAATGAAAAAAAAGAAGTAGAAATTGAATGGAATCAGTTTAAGATGCTTAAATCTTATCTGCTCTCACCATTATCGGCAGTTACAGAATTACATCTATATTGTTTTTATATAGAAATAACCTAAATTTTAGTATTGTAAATTGCTGAATTTTGAGGGTGGCTTAAAATGTCATAAAAAGGCTGAAATGTTTATTACTAAGCAGCATATATATTCCACTATTTCACATGATGTTGTAAGCTCATCTCCCTCGATATGTTGAAAGAGGAATGCAACACAAAATAATATGATATTTAATAATTTAGATATGACTGGCTGTTATTTAACAGTTAATGAAAAGTAATTTCGTAATACAAATTGTAAAATGGTCTTTACAAAAGATATATTATTCTGATTTTAATCCTTTTTGATATTTTTTAAATGACTGCTTTAATCTTTTTAAATTAAATTTAGATTGTTAATTCAATAAATTATTTTGCTGCTCACAAATGCATAAAATATGCTTGAATAAATAAGAATTGAAAGTGTTATGTAGGTTACCATGAGAATTCAATCAAAAAAAAAAAAAATAAAAAAAATAAAAAAATTTACTTATCTGGTAAAAATAAGAACTATTATGAAGCTTACTTCACGGCACCAATGTTATATCTTAAATTCATATATGTTAAATGTTAAATAAGAACCTACTTGCCGTGAAAAGGTTTCTACTTCCTCTTAGGGAGGAAACTAAACTCTTAAGAATTTGCTAACTTACCAAACTTTTAGTGATCGTATAGTGAGAACGGTAAGCATTTTGCGTTGTGAAAAATGCATCCCGGGACCGCGCCGTGAGAGGATCGAAAACATAAGAAAAACATATACAAGATATATAGGAAAAAACATATTAAAAAATATAAGAAAAACATACTGTAATAGGTTTCCAGATTAAATATCAGTTTATTCAATTACATCACAATAAAATAAAATCTTAACCTCATCTGAGAGTCTAAGGAGAATTCTTCAATTTGTCATTTACCCTTTTTTTTTCTCATTTAAATTCATATAAAAAAAAAAAAAAACTTAAGGTTTGTCTGGTAATTTAAAGGGGAAAGGGAAACAATTCAAAGCCTGAGAATTAATTTAAGATTCAATGCTGTTTTTACCTTCCAAGAAAAAAGTTATTGAGAACCCACTCAAAGCTCAGACACAAAAAAAAAATAGCACTTAACTTGGTTGGACATCTTGAAGTGGAGGACTCGTATCTTAATAAGCGTTGACGTCGGCCGGGCTCATCTTTACGGTCACAAAATGGAAGTTTCAGAAGACCTCATCCTGTCTGGGCACTATTTGCGAAAACACCCACGCAGGTAACTGGTTTTTCATAATGACGAGGCTAAATTTTCCTCTGTTAAACAGAAACAGGAGCACTGCTGCCCAGGACGGCTATCCGCTTGGTCTTGAAAGTCTTAAGTCAACACGCAGGTAACTGGTTCAAATTTCGCCTTTTTACCAGAACGCGGCAAGGGAGCATGGTTGCAGCTTCCAACCAGAAACGTTTTTCTAGGCAATTACGGCTCGCCTGTTCTTACAAATCCCAAGAGCAAACTTCACGAGTAACGTCCAAAGTAAGTTCCACACGCCAGTCAGTAAGAGAGTCTCGCCTCTTAACCCAAAACGCGGCCGGGGAGCATATTTGCCGCTCCCCGCCGAAACATCTCTCGTCGTAAATTACATCTTGCCTATCTCTTTCAAGCAAGATTCAAGAGTAACCTCCAAAAGTCCAGCAAGCCCGTAAGTCAGCGAGTCCAACTGGAATTTCCTTCGTCTCCTTCACAAACACGGGCTCCCACAATGGCTTCACTTATCGCCCCCTTAATT